AGGAGAATGAATCAGACATTGTTACCCTATGTACATATATAACTATATAACCGGTGGGATTGTCCACATTGTGTATAACCAGAAGAATGAGAAATTATTTATACTCCATTATATATAATGCTTCAAAATGCATTCAACTGTCATGTATAACTTACTAAAACACATTTTTAAAAATTAAAATTAATTAATTTTTTAAAAAGACATTGTCCCAGGGGCTGGGGTTGTGGCTCAGCGATAGAGCGCTTGCCTAGCGCATGTAGGGCCCTGGGTTGGATCCTTAGCACTACATACAAAATAAATAAAACAAAGGTATTGTGTACAACTACAACTAAAAAATAAGTATCTTAAAAAAAAAAAGACATTGTCCTGGATACAAAATTTAAAAAAAAAATCTCCAATAGAATCAGCATTTATAACTTATCTTACTATGTAAGATAATGGAGTTATGAACAGCAGATGATAAAAAGCCATTATCCTGCTGCTGCTGGGGTCTTTGACTCCTTCAGCACTGATTAGTGCCTAAGGAATCTAACCCACCTTTGTCTTCAAGGTGAGCACCCCCAAACCACTCAGGGCTGAAGGTTAACTGCACTTTTTTAAAAAGCATTCCCAAGAAATAAGTTCAAGTTTGCTTTTGGTTTGGGGGGTTGATTTTTTGGTTTTGTTTTTCCTTCATTTTGTTTTTATTGTGTTTTGCAGCACTGAGGACTGAACCCAGGGCCTTCTGCATGCAAGGCAAACAGTAGGCAAAAGCCCCACCACTGAGCTACACTGCCAGCCATTTTATTAGAGCATTTAATCGTCAGTGCTTCTTCATCCTCTTACAAGTGCTTCCCAGGGAGGAAATATGGTAATGTAGAAAAAAGAAACTGGCTTCGGAGAGGCTGGGCTGACATCCTGGCCCTGCACCTTATTAAATGTCAGCAGAGGACATGGGAACAGGCTCTGGGCAGGTCAGGTCTTGCTGTGAGCACAGTCATGTCCACACTGCAAGATGAATATGAGACTGGAAGGAGGTGAAGTGTGTTGGAGACACTCGAAAAGCATTGCCACACAGCGGACGCATCATTAATACTGGAATCTGATTTATGCTTATTACCCCCTTGTCTTGTCAGCATCCTCTTCAAAAAATGTTTCCCTGTCAACTTTATTTTACAGTTAATCAATCAACTAGGCTATAAATGAAACTACTCAGAGAATGGGGATTTCCTTCTACAGCAAATGATATTTTGCCACAAGAACTGTCTACAACATAGAGCGATTAGGGCCTGTTTTATATGGTTGGTTTGCCAGTCTCCTCCTTTCTTTACACCGCCCCCACTCTCATGCCTAGATTTCTGATTTAATTTATTCTTGTATTTACTTTTGAGACAGGTTCTCACTATGTTGCCCAGGCTGATCTTGAACTTCTGGGGCTCTAGGGAATTCCTGCCACAGCCCCCTGAGTAGCTGAGACTTGATAGGCATGTGCCACCAAGCCGGGCTGGAAAAAAAAATTTTTTTTTTAATTACCTCTATGGATTTTGCTTTTCACACTACTTAAGGGATCTCTGGCACTGCATCTGATTCTGAAAGGAATTCCTACTTGGTTTCCTCAACTCTGGCTTGGATGACGAAGTGTGAAATACAGTCCAGTCTAGTGCAAAGGAGCGTGGGGGGAAAAGGGAGCTGAGTCAGGTGCCTCCTTGCCCTGCTGTCTTTGAACCAGGAGACTGGATTGGGGACAAGAGCTCACATTCCACTGTGTGTCAAGAGATTTTTTTTTTTTTAAAGGCCAGTGGCGACTTCAACACTTTAAAAGCTATACTGACTGTTGCTGCTGCAATTGGAAGAGACCAAGTGACTTTTACATCCAATATTTGAGCTCTCTTCAGAGACTGTTCTGGGGGAAAAAAAATCCACTCAAAGTTCATTTCGATGACATCTTCAACCCTCTTCTTCCATAGCTACCCAAATGTCAAGTGACTCCAACATAATATGCCACAGCAAAACCCAACACCCAGAAATGTAAGTATTCCTCAGGAGTTCGCTAAATTCAGAAGCAAGGCAACAAAGATGAAATAGGAAAGAAACAAAGAGGAGACAATATGAGCTCGACTTGGCAGAAATCAAAAAGGATGACAGAATGAGCTATCCAGTTACTTGAAAGTTCCTGTTCCCGGGCTTGACGGCTGGCTCCGTCTCTGGCTCCAAGGCTGTGGTTGGAACTATCATCCTAGGAGCACTAGCCAGAAATGCTTTTATAGTGACCCAGAAAACAATCAAGCGAATATCACAAGGGACAGGATTGGGAACTGGTAAACTGTAAAAATGCAAATGAGAAAAACCAGCTAAACTGAAACCCTGGAGGGATCAGTCAGCACCCGCAAATACCACAGGGAAATACAACCTGGTGATTTCTGAGAAGTCCCAGCTCACGGGGCAACACAGGACCCGCCTCTCAAACTACGGATTGCATCTTGCACTTGACTGAGGGGCTAAGCTTTTACTTCTCAGCAGCTGCTGCAAATCTGTGGGGTGAAGCCAAAGCTAATACAGATGGAAGATTAATCAGCAAACTCCTTGCCCAGGTCAGCTGAACCTTCTCAGGCACTTTGCTCCTGGCCCTTCCACCCTGTGCTGACCACAATCAGACCACCTTTTCTATGAGCAGCATAAAAAACAGATCCAGAGAAGTGTCGCCATCCTTCCTAACCAAACATGACCAAATCCCATTGTAAATACAGTCTGAGAGAAAAAAATTCCACTTGTCCCCACCCCCCAGGGTCAAGGGAATATATACCCTGAGGGTTACTTAGCATAAGCTAAGACTGCCTGGGCCTAAGTAGGCTCCAGACACTTAGTAGTTGTTGATTTTAAGCAAGCTACCTTACTTCTCTCTTGGTTCCTCCATCTGTAAAATGGGGGTAACGGAACCTACACCTCACTGGGCCATTGTGAAGATTAGATGAGTTACATTAAATGTTGGTACAATATGACATATGTGTTAGCTGCTATTATTACCAGCTATTACTATTGTTACTGCTATCCCAGCACCATCTACTAAATGCTCCCATAGGAGTTTGTCCTCATATCTCGAGTTCAGACCCAATTTTTGACCCCTTTGCTCTTGAGGCATGATTCCAAGTGTGTGATTTGGCCTATTATTGTCATTTTCACAGCCTGGTAGAGCAGTTGGCCCAGCACAGTGCTCGGCATGTTATGCATTCAACAAGTGATGGGTGAATGAATAGAGGAAGGAAGGAATAGAAGGAAAGGAGGGAGGGAGGGAACATTGTCCTGGGTCAGACTGACTGACTAAGCAATCAAGTTCAGTTTTCTAAATGGCTTCTTCACTACTACTTCTCCTCCTAGTTCCTTAGGGGCCCAGAATTTATTTATTTCTTTAATTCCCTCTTTCCCCCACCTCCCACCTTCCTCTCCAGTTTTTAGCAGTACTGGGAACTTGACGGCTGGCTCCGTCTCTGGGAACTGGACCCAGAGGCTCACAACCACTGAGCTTCACACACTCCCAGTTCTTTTTTTATTTAATTTTTATTTTAATTTTTTTTTTTGTAGTTGTAGATGGACAGAACGCCTTTATTTTTATGTGGTGCTAAGGACTGACCCCAGTGCCTCACACATGCCAGGCAAGTGCTCTACCACTGAGCTACAGCCCCAATCCTCCTTTTTATTTTTTGAGACAGGGTCTTGCTAATCTGCTGAGACTGGCCTTCAACTTGTAATCCTGCTGCCTCAGTCTCCCAAGTTGCTGAAATTACAGGTGTGTGCCACCATGCTGGGCCAGAACGTTCTTTAAATTGTAGAATAAATGATTCAATACAGTTGTTCTTCTCTTTTAATCTGATGGTGCCTTTGACCTCTGTGTGCTACTCACTTTCCCATCTTTCCTTTGCCCAGAGTTGTCACAGAACAAACCATGTGAGGCCAAGAAAAAGATGCAGGTGGGCTGGGCCCAGCCAGTCAGAACCACTACCAGTCTATGAGAATTCAAAGAGCTCCTAATGGATTTGCAATGATGACACCGGATTTTTATAGCTCGTTCAGACCTATGCCCCCAAGGGTCACAAGACTGTGAGGTTTAGAATATAACATGTCTACTCTGCTTCCTGCAGACATCAGGCATTAAACATGCCACAAGCCCTTCTTCTGGGTCCTCTCTGCTACTGTATTAAAAAGAAAAGACTGGGTAGATGAGACATTAAACATTTATTCTTCATTCCTTTAAGTCACAGTGAGTTTTCTAACTGATTTACAGTTGACTTGGCTAAGCTGTGCAATCCAACAGGGCTTTATTAAATTGTGATTTACTCTAATCAAAGTGCTGCGTGGAGGCAGGGAAGGTTCAGGTATGTGGGTGGTGAAACACCGCGCCTGCCTTCAGGACCCACAGAGTTTATAAGTGGAAGATGGTTAAAAAGATCAATTTTGTTTTGTCTATTTTACCAGAGCAAATAAAAATATGGAGCTACAACTATACACACACAGGCACAATATAAGGCAGAGCTGCCAAGTGCTAGAAGAGGCAAACAAAGAGGGTAGGAAGGGAGACTGGCTCCATCCTAGTGTGGTGACTGTGCCAGGGAGGGCTCTGCATGCTGAACCAACACCCTGCCCATTTCAACCATATGACCACCTGCATTCTAAACAGGGGCAGCCGCCAGGACCAACAGCTCAGCATGAGTTTGATCCTCCTTCAGCCAAACGTTTAGTCGGTGCACTGCTGGACGGCAGTGTGCTGCTGTCAAGTGGTCAGGAATGTGGTTCTGGAGCCCGACGGCCTGGGCTTAAATCCTGACTGTACTGTATACCAGCTGGGTGACCTGAGGCCAGTTACATCACCTCTCAGGGCCTCAGTTTCCTCATGAGTAAAATGAGGATAACAACACTACCTCACACGGTCAGTGTGAGAACTAACTGGGCGAACGTGCAACATTTAGAGTACTGTTTGGTACATAGTAAGTGTTCAATAAAAGCCAGAAATAACGATGATATGGGGCTGGAGTGTAGCTCTGTGGTAGAGTGCTTGCCTAGCATGCAAGGGGTCCTGGGTTCAATCCCCAGCACTGCAAAAAGAAAGGAAAGAAAAAAAAAAGAAGAAAACAAAACAGGAAGAAGATGATCCCTCAAGAAAATATCTCCATTTCTCCTTGGCCATAAGTAGAAAAATATGATGTCCCGTATCGTCTTCATTTAGGCCCCTTGTCCAGTTACACATTCCCATTTCCAAGGGAAATGACCTCTGGGGCCTTGTGTCCATGTGGAACTTGTCTAGACAGAGAGACCAGAAGACAACCCTGCACACCTCAGCCTGGTGTGTAGGGACTTCTTAAGTCTTAAGGCTTCGATCTGCTTGCAAGGTACTCTTTTACAACAGAAATCATTTTGCTGCTAGTGCAAGAGACAGAGATCTGACAGGCTACTTTTGTTCCCTTGTCCAAGGGGGATGTCTAACCTCCGCAGCTGCCAGCCTTCCCCACACCTCACTGGTTTATACAAGCTTCCATCTTCATGTGTCCCTCCAAAGTACTCACAGATGCCCTGATGACTCCCAGGATAAAGGGCTGCACACTATGCCTCCCGGATTGAACACAAAACTACCACTGTCCCCTAAGGCCTTGCTTCAAGAGGATCACTGTGTTCTGGCAGCCCCCAATCCTCCACTGCATGGAGGCAGGAAATAGAGGGCAGGGGTGAGAGCACAGGCCATGGGCAATGGCTCTGGTCGGAATCCTGGGCTCTGACATTTTGGGCAAATGCCTTACCCTCCCCAAGCCTCATACTCTTCAGCTACATCTGGTACCATGGTCCCTACCTCCTAGATTATTGGAGACTTACTGATACAAAGGTAGTGTTTAGACCTGTCCCTGGCACACAGTGGGCACCACAGTGCCTTTGCACACTTTAGATCAGGGAGCCCGTGCTAGGGCAATGAGTGCTGCTGGCTGCAAGAGCACTGAGGACACAGCATTTGACTATGCTGCTAAGGACAGCACAGTGCCATTGGTACCTTGGCAGGGGGTGGGGGTCAGCATAATCCACCCAAAGAAATACAAACTATTATATAAGAGACTTACTGTCAGAGGGTAAGGAAAGGAAGGGGAAAGCTGAGGAGTCTCCTTCCCCAGCTCCGGCTCTGAGAGGGGCAAAAGCAAAAACAGGACAAATCTGCAATCCTTCCAACATGGCCCTGAGTTCATTCCAGAGAGGCAGATTCTTTCTGGGCTGGTATCCAGTCCAAGGATCCTTCTTTCTCAAAATAGGAGCTAGGCTGGGCATGGTAGCATACCATTCCCAGTGACTTGGGAGGCTGAGGCAGGAGAATTTCGAGTTTAAGGCCAGCCTGAGATACTTAGTGAGACCCTGTCTCAAAATAAAAAATAAAAAGGGATAGGGATGTAGTTCAGTGGTAAAGTACCCCTGGGTTCAATCCCCGGTACACAAAGACACACACACACACATTAGCTAAAACTCCATTAAGATGCAGTCCCTAGTTCTAACTACAACCCCCTAAAATACAGGGGTTGTTTGAACCATGCAGGTAGACTCAAGGAGGTAGAAAATGAAGCAGTGCTTCATGAGGCTTGGAGGCTGTCAGCTTTATGACCCTGGTGGTGAAGGCCACAGTGGGATACTGCTGAGGATGGAGTGTGAACATGGGAAAGAGGCTGTATTCCAAGTGCAACCAGCATTAGACGCCAAGAAGAAGGAACAAAGGCATTTCTGAGACCTGGGCCCTCCTGGCCTCCTTCTCAAGAGTCACAAGAAAAGCAACTAGGCCACTAAACTTCCTTTCAGAGAACAACACCTTCACCTTCAGACTGGCTCCCAGCAACAAGAACAATTAAACATTATGAGATGTTAAGGCCTGTGGGCAATGTCTACAAATACAAAGATAGACGTGTACAAGGTTTCTCTCCACACTTCCAAAAGTGCAGAAATACAAAATCTCTCTGAATTACTCCAGTACACGGCTGGCTTGGAGAGCCCCAGGTCCCCAACACTTGGAATTCGTTATCGTTTGTAACCCCCATTAAGGAGGTTCATTTACTAAGCCATGTGACTTCCTGCCCAAATGACTCAATGAGCCGGGAGATGAGCAGTTTGTTGGGAGTACAAAGCAGCATATGGCTGCCAGGTTCTTCCCGGCCAGCACTGCAGATGAGGGAAAGGCTGCAGGGTTTCCCCATGCTGCAGTTCTCACAAGCTGACGGAGGGATTTCCTATAGCCCATCTGGTATCAAAACCTCCACTGGGCAGAGTGGTTTGGAAAAGCGAGGGGGTGGTTTGTAATAACAGACTGCAGAGGGGGAAGCTCTCAAGAAGTGGCTTGCAGTTTTCATATGAGAGGGGGAGAAGGAGCCAGAGTCAGAGTGAGTCTGAAATCTGAGAGACGTGTCCCAGCCCCAAAGACAATAACTTCTACTGGGGGATAGGGTTTCTGTGCCTTATGTCGCTGGTCACTGTGGATTCTTCTGCAGTTATAAGCGGGAAAGAGTTCAAGTTTGCCCAAGTTCATTCTGAATAGTGCTGTTCCTCCTCCCCTCCATTGGGTACTGCTGAACCCAGGGGCACACTACCACTGAGCTGTATCCCCAGCCCTTTTTACTAAAGGTCTCCCTAAGTTACTGAGGTTGGCCTTGAACTTGTAGTCCTCCTGCCTCGGCCTCTGGAGTCCCTGGGATGACAGATATGCACCAGTGTACCAGGCTGAGTTGTGCCTTTTTGCTTGAACATTGGGACCTTGATCTAAAATCCTTTTTGAGAGATATGTTACTAAACAAGCTCAACCCAGAATGCCAAGGTCATTTCAATGAGGAACAAATTCTGTTTTCACACCAGATCTTTATAGGTTAAAACAAAACAGAAAGGCAGAAAGGAAGCCTAGGAACGATGAAGAGAAAGCGCCATGCCTTGTAGATACAGGGGGATCTGCTGGAAAATGTGCTTGTTCAGGCAGCAATATGGCCCACCTTGACCCTCCTTAGTTGAAAGGTGGTAGATGCTACCAATTTACCACAACCAACCTATACGCCATGGCTCAGTACTACATATAAGGTAATTAAATTTGGTAACTGCCTACAGCTGATGAAGGAACTTGCAAGAAATGCGCCAACAAGTTTTCTCTGTCGGTTTTTTTTTTTTTTAAATAGGAAAAGAAAATAATACCAAGAAACTGAAGAAACTTTTTTCATCTAAAAACAGACACCCCCCACCCCAAAACAGTATTAATGCAAGTTCCCCAGGACAGGACCACAGGGCTTCCCTAGCCTTGTCAGTTCTGGCTGAGCAGGCGAGCCACGGCTCTGATGTTCCACCAACTCTCAAACTCAGCACTTGAAGGACACGCCCAGCATGGCCTCTCTGCTCGCCATAGAACCCCCAGTCCCTGGTGCTTGCAGTGAAAAGGTCCAATGAGAAAAAGGCCAAAGGCATGAACCACAGAGACAGGGGAGTTTCTAGATGGATTCCACCAGGTGGAGGGCAAGGCAGCATTCCACCCTTCCAGAATCCTGCGGTCATAATCCTTATAGGCCTGACAGGTGGTGGGTCCTCAGTGGACGCCCTGATGATGCCCTCAGGCCGACAGAGTCTGCTTGCTCTACCAGCGCCTGGGGAGTGAGCAAGCCTCTGTTGCGTTTTCACACATTCATCCTCCTTCCTCAACAGCCACTTGGTAAGTTGCTATCCAGAAAAGAAATCAGGCAAATAGTCTCCAAACACTGTGCAGCTTCCAGTAGATCCGGAATGTGATTGCATAACGCCTACTAAACCAAATGCCATAAATTACAAATCAGCAGGCTGAGCTTTTCCATGTCCACTCTCCAGAATGAAAATAAGAGCAGGAAATGTTGTTTGGGAGAGTGGCGGCAATGTTTATCACTTCAGCGCCATCCGTACCTGTTCCACTGTGCAGCCATTAGCACTCAGCACAACACTCTTTCCAATTTCCTACTTGGTGGTTATTTCATCGGGGTTTTTGTACCAGAGCCCCCACCCGGCCCTCCCCGCATAGAAAGTTCTGTTTCTTGGCAGAACTTTCTGAGCGCCCAGTTATAAACCCCTTGTTACCACTTTCCTGCTTCAGGAAGTCCCCACTGAGCCCGGGCCAAATGACAAGGAGAGGAAAGGAAACATTTACAATGATGTGAGAAATTCCCAGTCTGGAAAAAAAAGATCAAAGAGGACAGTCATGAGGGAGCCTGGCACATGAAGGCCCTCCATGAATTGGACTGGATTGGTCCAAGACAAGTAGCGTCACCTCACTGGGAACCCAGCAAGCCAGGAGCCTCCTCAGCTCTGAAAACAACATCAGCCATGCTGCGAGGGGCCAGCTGTGTCCTGAGTGAAAGGAATCCTATCCCGTACTAAGGAGCCACGATTGCCATGTACTAAGATGTCTTTATATAGAAATGGACTGTGGCTTGCAGTCCCCTCCACCAGCTCTTGAAATGAAAGGATTCCACAGCACAATGAAATAAGTAACAGCAGGGAGAAAGAGAGAGGGAGGTAAATTGTTTGGAAAGCAAAAGACAGGGTGGAAAAGATGAAATTCAAGACAGATGTGTGAGAGCCGCAAACACATGTCCTTGAATTTAAGCATCCAAGTGATTTATGTAGAATAAGGGGAAAAAAGAACTACATTTTAATATAGAAATATAGCTAAATAAAGCTGTTATAAAACAGGTGAGTGGAGAATCCAAGATGAAACGCTAGTAATCAAGCAGAGATTCTCTGAGGCCCCTGTCATTCTCAACAGGATGTCAACCACCAACAATTTATTTTCAATTACTGAGTAGTGATTTTTTTATCTCCAAAAGGTACTGCTACTGCATAACTGGCAAAATTTGACAAACAGTAGCATTTACCAGGTTCCTGCCTAGCCCTTAAGAGAAAATAAAGCAGGAAATTTAGATGGGTGTTTCCACTGAAACACAAAAGTCCAAGGCTCTAGCAGGAAAGACATTTATTTTTACAGTGCAGTATTAATATGTGTTGTTTCACTTCTAAACAGCTAAGCTCAAAGGGGCCACTACACAATTGGTTCCAAATGCCTCACACTGAGAAAAAA